CAAAGTATGCATTGCTGATGGTCTTAAGTTCCTCTATGACTTGCTCATTGACTCCCCTTTGTGGCTTTATAGCGTTTCTGTAGTCCTTAAGACGCCGTTGACTGGGAAGAGTAAGGACACCACTGTTTCTTAACTCTTCATAGCATGAGGGAGACTTTGCTGCCAAAGACAGGCAAAAGCGAATGATCATTGGGTGATATCGCACTCCATATTTACTTGAGGTAGCCATTCGTTGTTCTTGTTGCCACAAGAGGTTCATAAATGGTGCAACATCTTTGTCAGCTGAACTGAAGAGTTTAGCAAAATCATTACCCAGTTCACGATCAATGTTTATGCTAGACTTTCTGAGCTCATTTCGCATCTCATCTAACTGGTGTTCAAGCTCTGAGCAGCGTAGTCTCTGCTCTTGAAGAGTGAGCTTAATTCTTCTTGGATCTGTAACAGACACAGGAGCTTTCGCATGAGCTGGCTTCAAAGTGCCACTTTTTCTTGGCTTTGCCTTCTGAGCAGCATGCTCTTTACATTCAGGACAGACTGAATCACTGGCATAAATCAAGCAGCCTTTAGCCCTTCAATATCCTTTGTGTGGAAATTGTTCCGAGTCTGAATCACCTGAATCTGAGCATGTTGGGATAACATGGTGCAGTAGCTTACTACAGTCAGAGTCATTTGGCTCTACACCACGACAAATAATATAGCCTTCAAGTTCATCAACCAAGCAGCTGATTGTTATGTTTCTCACAGAGCGACGGTATTTCATGTATATTGGGTGATCCTCGGGTAAATAGCAGCCGTAAACTTTAACTGTAAAGCTGAGATTGTCTGCAACAATAAATCTCAGTCGTGGGCAAGACGTACTGACCATCCATCTTTTTGAGTACAACTTTGACTTCAAGAATCCTCTTATCTCAATGATTCAAAGATTTGATATTGGAAAGTCTTCTATTAAAATCGGTGAGAGTTTTGTAGTACAATTGAGGCCCTTGAGTGCATTCATTGGTGACTTCAGTACGTCAAGTAATTGGAACTCTTGGCGATGGCTTCGGCGTCTCTTGGCTCTTTCTTGGCATATTAATTGTCGGGATCGCTCCAAATCCTGGTTTCTTTTTCATCGTCTTTTCACTTCGAACTATAAAACAAAGATTGGACTTATATTTAATCTATGTTTCGTCATATTTTCTACATCAACATGAGACCTACGACTGCAACAAGACCGAAGTGCCGCGTAAGCCCTGCACACTGTTTGCACAAGTATGTTTGTAATACAAAGTTTCATTGTTGTTACTTACATATCTTGATATCTTCTAGCTTGAAATGCTTTTCGCAAGTGTAAACACGATCTTTCTCTATTAGATCTTTGAAATGATGATCGATCTCTCGTGTTCGAGTGATTTGCTGTAGCCATTCGTCTCGCCATTTCTTCTGCGCTTCGTCCTTCGGCTTTGGAAGCTTCCAAATTCTGATGCCTTTCGACCTTCTACAGGTCCCACAACCAAGAATTGAACAATTTTCACCAGGCATAAGGCACTAGAATGGTTTTAAACTGATCGGAATTACATTTGGTGCTTAATTTCACCGTTTTAAACTAAAATATTTCGAACACACGCTTCTCTATACAACAACTGTATTTGGAATGTGCAGGGTCAATGTCACGTGACTAGTGAAAAATCATAACAATAACATGCGCCTTTGAAGTTCGCAGGCTTTCATAACCATTCCCCTCGATTAACTATGATCAGAAGTATATCGTTACTCATAATCAATTGTTAGAGTGAAATTGAACTTTGTTTTATTTGCTTTCCATCCATTTTCTGCAATAAGAGGTTACCTTGAGGATCTCCCACCATTCTATTGTCAGTAAGTATTTCCATTTTGTTTTGCTCTTCTGACTGGTCTTTACTTTGGGCTTTATTTTTCTTTTTTCTCTTCTTTTTCTTCTTTGTCTGCTGGTCCTTCTTTTTGCCTTTTTCAAGCTGTGTAGATAGTGTGGTATCTGTTTGTTTGTCATTATCCTGAAAATTTGAAATCAAAATAAAACAGCTGTTATTTATTTGTTTGCCCCTGTCCAAGAAAATTTTGACATCTGGAAGCTCTGAAATGCCATTTCTGGAGTTCTGGAGACCAAATTGAGTGCAAAAGATGAAGGAAAACTCCCTATCAACAGTAACATTCTTTTAATTTTTACAATACTAATAAGCTGACAATGGAAGTTTGCATGCATTTCCTGGAAGTTTAAGATCATTGTCACTAAAAACAATGGAGCTAAACAGAATCACTTACTACCGGTAAGAAAGCGTCCAGATGCATTTTTAATCTTTCTTCCATTTGTCTTTGTTTTTTTCCCGTGAACCCATAAACAGTTTGCGGGTGAAAAATATTCCAAGCATCTCTGCCTACCCACCAGGACACCCACCAGACAGGTGCCAGAAACCATGATAAAATCAATTAGCTGCAGCTTTTAACTCAGACTTCAAATATGAGTGGAAAAAATGATAAAACGCTTAAATTAGCATCCAATTTGTTTTCGTTCTGTTCTTTTTGTAATACCATGAAACATGCAGATCAGGTTGTTATTCAAGAAAATGCAGCTTTCATTCAAGGTTCGATTTATCAGGCCACAACGAACTCCTGAACACGATAAACAAATGACAGTAATTAGATTATATAGAATTACATACTTTGCACGCAGTTAATTTTTTCGTAGATCTCTTGCGTCCTAACACCATCCCAAAACGAGTCTAGTGGTGTGACCAACGAGTCACGTCCGATCTTTTGATAATTATTTAATTTTGAAATTTAGGTTAAAAGTTCATACAAGCCCATCAAAATGAATTTTAATTTAGTTTTCAAAGAATCTTTCTTTAATTATTTAAATTTAGGGAAAATGTAGCCGACTTCTCTAAGCGAAGTAGTCGACGCTTTTTGTCGGCCGTCGGTGCTTATTGAAAGCACTGTACAACTGTAACTAAAAAGACTGAAAAAAAACATGCATGAGCCCTTGTGCCAGTGCAGTTTGTAGTCTTTGAAAAATCGCAAAGTGCTGAGTTGGACCAAACTGCACTCAACATGTTTTTGATCACTTTACATATTTCCATAATGTAGTTCTTATGGAGAGTGTTGCTGCGTTTTTCGAACTGGCAGTTGTCTTAATTTTGTCATTATAGACTGCCGAAACATACATGTGCAGCTGTATAAAATATTTTCTAAGAATGGATGATGCTTACGAGACCTAATCCGTGACTTTTGAAGTATATTCTCCCCTTTACTAAATTCAATAATTATAGATGGGATTTAATACGAATTTTTCCCCTATTCCTTAGTCCAGACTACAGTAACTCCATAACAAAAATTAAATCACATTAGGACAATTTAACCATGCGCTCAAAAATTATGAATCTTATCTTTTGAAATCAATCAAGTTGAATGTTGAGAGCACTTAAAGCAATTCACCTTCTGCAGCGGCTGTTCTTTTACTTTCTTCTTCCGAACTGGTCCACCTGCACCAATTCCTGTTAGTTCTTCTAAATCATAGTCCTCCATGACTTCAAGGGAAACAAATCCATCCATTTCGCCCGCAAAGAACAAAGGATCGTCCAATACTACTGGTTCCCATTTTCGCTTCTTACCTTTCGAATTCTTCTCTGCCATGATGGAAAACTGAGCAAGGAGCTTTAAACAAGACACTGTATGCAAACACTCTTTTAAAAAACAGCAAAATTAGTAATAAAACTAACACCCCCGTGGAATGAAACCGCATTCTCTCACGTCGTCCGCCATGATAGATTAATTGCCAGAGAAGGACTGGATCAGAAATTTTACTGCGCCTAATCCTAATGGGAGTCATCCACTGAGTTATTGAAGACTAGTATTAACTCAGCTGAATTTTTTGTGAAAACTTGAATGAAAAGAACGACATGGCTAAAGAACACCGTACATTCAAAGAGGAGTGCTCTTATATTGAGCGCTTAAACGGAAACTCGTTTCTTATTAGAAAAGGCTTTGTCCCAAATATGAAGGTAAGTGAACGCGCGCTCAATAACGGAGGCCTAACTCCGGCTGGTTGCGTAGCGTTTCGCGCAAAAATACACGTCCAACTCTGTTATACGAGAGAAGGTCGAAGATAAACTATGGTCATCAAAATAAATGCCCTTACGCCTGCCATATCCGTCATATTCATTTCTTCTTTGAAATAAGTCTTAAGGCACAACCAGACTTTTTTTCCCAACTTCCTGCCTCCTCCCCCCACTCTACAATTAAAACCCTACCCGTACCCCACCACGTCTCTCGTGTCAGGTAATTTCTTTTCTTCTTCTTTTATTTGGTATCCTGTTTGTTTCCAAACCGTCAAATTTGCTGCATCATTGAGGAAAATTAAGACGGGAACAAACAATTGGACAAATTAATAATTATACTTCCATCAAACCATAATCATATTCATCATCACCCCTAACCCTCTTATTTATTTTATTATATTATTCCCAGAGTTGCATCTTTTTGGAAATTGTTAATGCAAGAATATCCTAATTGATTAGTATCAGGGACATTCCTACATACTGTTTCAGACAGAAGAGTGGAGGTGTACGTTGCAAGCTATTCAGTTCTAAAATTTTAAAGGATTTTTTTTTCTCTTTTTTTCTTCTGAAGGTTGAAGGTATCTTCTATATAAATGATTTACTTGAAAAGCTGATGTTTGATGAGCTGAAACACTGGGCTGGAACTCAAGGTACATTACTCTCAACATTTGGAGTATAATATTATTGTTGAATTTGCCACGTTTGTCTTAATCCTTTTATACAATTAAATTAAATTCCCGGACAGGTATTGGTGGTTTCCTTCCTGGTGTAAAGCAGATTGCAAATGTTGCAGCTTTACCTGGAATTGTTGGTGTAAGAATGATCATTACTTTTTTTCCAGTCATTTAATTATTTCAGAATTTCAGTTCACAGAGCTTTCTCTGTGG